TTGTGTGACACATGTATTGTGGTCCTAGCGTAAAAAACAAGGGCCTGCTATGTATTTCTTAGTGACCAAGGCTTGATATATATGGCTGATACACCATTACACAAGCTGTCAAATTACATATGCATTAGAGGACAAAACTGTGAGTTGTAGTAGGGGCATTGTGGTCCTTTCACTGATAGAATGTCAGAATATTCTCTTGCCAATGATTGGAAGAAGGTTCCACGTGTATTTTCTTATTAGGGTAGGAATTTGAGCTCAAGGTTCACTTTATATATCATGTTATAGCCTTGTGCCTCAAGTGAGCACCCTTGTGAGCATCATTGAGCTGGATTGTGACAAGCACTCGAGACACTATGAACTCTAAATTTTCATTGAGTTTTGAGACCAATTTGAGACCTATTTCAACTTAGTAATCCATATTGTGTGAGTGTGTGGTTGAAGAAGACATACAAGGCTGTAAGCTACTGTTTTATTGGTTCAGAGGCTCAATCCAGGCTTCAGGCCATTTTAGCCTTGCTTTCTGGGTTAGCCATCTAATTTGAGTATATTTATGTGATATCTTGTTGTGAGGTGCATTCTTATCATCTGAGCATATCTATTTAACTAATTTGAGGCTGTGTAAGTTAAGATTTGGCCTGAAAAGTGACCATAACAGTTTTTAGTCTTGTGAACCTTAGAAATTAGGGTTTCAAGTTGTGTTGAGTATTAAGATATGATTATGGGTAGGCCTATATTGTTGCTGAATTACAATTTTACCCCTCAAACCACTATGCTGCAGAAACATGTTGCAGAAACAAGTTGAAACATGTGGTGTTTAATACTTCAAGTTGTTTTATCATTCTTATCTTGTGTATAAGCTTGAGTATTGTTGTTATTCAATCATTTCAATGTATTTGGTGAGCTGTGAGAGCTTGCAGGGCTGTTTAGGACAGGGAGAGTGCTATTGAGCACCAAGTAGAGCTAGCATGTGTGTAAAGATGTTGTGAAAACTAGTGATTTAACTTCTACCAGGGTGTGTGTAGAGTGTGAGACAATCGAGTGTGTAACTATTTGCATAAAACTAGTGAATTGGCATTGGCTGAGGCCAAGAACCATGATTTTTATCCTATTAAGTGGACTTTTCCTTATAATACAATTGTGTACTTATGAATGCTTGAAAGACTCATCAAATATCCCTTTGAATCACTATATTGATTATCGGGTTCATCAATTAGTAATGTGCATTGTAAGTATTTAATGATGAGTCGGCAATAATTCATCACGTGCTAATAATTCTATTTTTGTGGAAGAAGGATAAGACTAAGAGGTTGGTTTGAAGTTGAATTCCAATTCAAGGATTTTATTTTAAAAGGGAAGTTAGCCTTAGTTGGTAGTAAACTGCTATTAATGGCTTGGTGATTATAAAGCAGGAGAAGAAGTCTATAGAAAAGGTTCACGACCAGAAATCTACAAATTTTACATTACTTTCCTGTACCGTTTTTTCCTTTAACTTTTTTTTTTCCTTAGGAGTAGTGTTGTAGTTTCTTTATATCAAATTCCTAACTCGTACTCTTGTAATGGAATTCTACTTATGAAATAAAACCAAACGTTTGGCTTTGTCCTCTCTTATTTTGTTTTATGAGTTTATCCTTTTTAATGAATTCTTGTGCTCTGCTCCCTTCATCAATTTTATTTTGTATTTTAAAAGTCCTCTTTGTTGAGGTATTAAGGAAACAAAAAAGAAAGTGGTGATTCTTTGCTTTCCTATAAATCGCCTAAAGTTAATTTTAAGACCGATTTTCTTTATTCGGTGAAGGATAGTTTGGCTATTCTGAACTTGAATCAACAGACTCCGCCAAAAAAATTAACAGCCAAACAAGTTTTTAGATGGATGGAATAAATAAGAAAAAATGCATTACACCTAACTTTTTAAAAGTAAGAGAAGTAACAAATAATGTTTTAATGAGTAAATATTGAATCTTTGAATGAAAATACCTTAATTAGGGTATCTTTGAAGTCATTAGAGTTCAAAGATTCAATCTTTACACGTTAAAACACTCTTGTAACTTCAAAAGGCAAAGATTATAGCTTTACTCTTTCTGACTTAAAAAAAAAAAACGATTATATCTTTACTTTTTCTGACTTAAAAAAAACGGAATAAGTATCGTGCAGTTTTTAGCCGAGCGTTTTGACATGGGAAGATATACTCGATCCAAAATGGGCTAAACATCAAGAATTCCTCTTTAGTGCCCATTTGATGCTCCATGGAATCCCATTGCTTCTCTGATTAATAACAATGTTAAATGTGTAGAAATATATCAAGTTTAATACTGCTGGCAAAGGTATCAGACTACTAACACATTCAACCAGAAATGGAAAAAATGAATTAATTAATGACATTTTTTTCCAGAAATTCTTCAATTTACATCTTTAATCTTCTCTCTCAAAAATTTCATTGAAGCCATGGCTAAGAGGGTTTCTTCCAAGAAGGAGAAATAAAACAATTGAGAGTTACCAAACTCAAACTTCCAATTATGACTCGGTTAACATGGGTTGTTGTCTGAGAACTCTACTATTTGCACAATTTTGTTAAAATTTTGGTTATGGGCTTTCATTATTAAAAAAATTCAAGAATTCTCAAATCGTTAAGGTTTTAGGTTTAAGCATCGAGAAATATAAAAGGTGATATCATGTCGTATGTTTGAATTTGTAAATAATTTTTTTAAAGTATATTTTGTATACGTAATACTCCCTAAACTATTACAATTAATTACAAAATGCCCCCAATCCTTGACCATGCACCATATTGAACAAATTATGAGATGCTTGAATGACCTTGAAATTCTACACAAATGACCCAATGATTCTTCATACAATATAAATCTCATGACAGGCATACTAGATGACACAGAAGATCCACCATAGTGACCCGCGGATCGCTTTCCATTAACCTCCACTTGTGAAAGAACAAACTGCACCACCATTGTGGTTTTACCATATGAAAATCCAGGATTTTCTGTTATTGCCTTGGACATTCTACAACATTTTTATGACTCGATACATTTTTTTTATAAAAAAAAAAAACTATTTGGAAACCCTCGAATTATATCTTGCCTCTCGCATGGTTTAACAATTTTAAGAACCAAAAGTAGCACTAAAATAGCAGTAACAATATGTCATGACAAACGCAACGAACCCAAGTTAAATCAAGGTAGAAAAGTAAACATGAGCACACAAAGAAAACAAAGATTTATACGTGGTTCGGCAACAGCCTACGTCCACGGTTGGAATCTGACGAAAGTTTTCACTATGTGTAAAATCGGAGATTACAAATTTTCAGCCCCTCACGCTGCATGAATTTCAGAGTCTCTCTTTTTTTCCACTCCAAAGCTCCCTTATATATCGGCTTACAAGAGAATAATTAGGGTCCACGACCCATGAGCGAAAAACGGGTAAAAAAAAATTTCCACACAAGGCTCAACAACGAGTCATCGCGTTATTAGTGGCCTGGCACCAAATTCGGGCCACAATATCACACAACACAACTGATACTTGACCCGAGTGTAAGTCCAAACGAAAGCAAATAAAACAGGTCGAACAGAAAATGAGCTGCAAACAACAAAACAAAGGAGCACTTTCAGAGAACCATTAGGATGTTCAAGAAATAAATGAATTAGAAATTAAATCCAGCAATAGAGATTGAGATAGACTATAGGAAGTCAATGGCCATAAAAAGATTTTTATGAACCACTAGGCTCAATTGATGTCAAGACCAATTTGTCCTGAACTATGGTAGAAGTTCCTCGTTCTAATACACGATACCGCTGCAAAATAAAGCCACAAAAAGTTTCCTGCTAAACAGTACTGTGCAACTCAGAAAAATAATAATGAAACTCAATCATGTCACGATAATTGGTCAGAAAACTCTCCACAAAATTTATATTTCACTATGAGTACAAGAATGATATCCCCCTTAATAGAACCAGATGCAAAGGCTAAAAAAATCCAGTTTGTTCATATGGAAAACCATAGTTTGTCTTTCATCCTTGGACAAACCAAACTTACTAATAAGTTTGCACTTTTTTTCCAAGGAGATTTTCTAATGACTGCCATTTGACGGGATGGATAGAATATATAGTAGCTCCGTCGGTTTGAAACCTAACTTGGCAACATCCTGGACAATTTTGCTAAACTATTCAGTGCTTCAAGGAGGCAAGATTTGATAAAACAATGAAGGAGATTTGAGCTGAACAGGACCTCTGTTATGTCTGAGGTCTGCCACATTATACAATTGGGGCCGAGCTAAAGCCCTTGAAACAGGCGCCATGCTTACGATACAATAATGTCATTAGATAAAATTAAATTAAGAATGGTCTTACTTAACATGGCAACCGACAAGTCCATAACGCCCATCAGAGCACGAGCTATCTGAAGAAATCAAATAATTTTATGATTAGTTAGTGAACTCAAATAATCAACCTGGAAGCTTTTGAAAGTGGAGTTCAGCCAGCATGTAGAGGATGCAAGCCATTAGTAAAAAGTAACCACCTACCTTGAATTTCTCTATATGAGAAAATGGCATCTCTGTGCAATATGCTATGCAGTGAAAGCATAAAACAGCAACAAAATTATAACTCATATGAGTGAATGCAAAACAAAGAACCAGTAGTTCAAATAAATAAAACACAGATTAGGAGGAAACAAATTGAATTGTCCAGACATCATCGTACAAGAACAACAAAATGAGGCTTAAATTGTACAAATTGAAGTAAATCAATCTTTAAGCATAAAATCAAATGTCTACCATGGTTTTTTGAAGGAAGGAAAAAAAAAAAAAAAAATTCACTAATAGGACTTTACAATCCTTGAATTGATGCCATTCCTCCAGAACTAATGGATGCTAGGGGAACTTCTCCTGAGCTGTATTTAATACTGCCATTGCCACTACCCCATACAACTACCATATAAGTTCCCAATGGTATAGTGAAGCTGTTCTTAAATTCCACAAATATTAGAACCATTCATGTTCTTAAATTAAAGGGGAACCCTTGAAATTGTATATTGCCTTGACGTGCCTCAATAACTTCAGGAATCACATTCTGATACTTGCTCACAAACTTTACCATAAACATCTTTTCAATCATTTTGAGTGCAGAAATTAAGCTCAGGTCTCCTTTGATCAGATTTTTAGACATCAAAAGTTGCAGAACTGCACACCTTGGAACAATCCTCTTCTCCAAGCTAAATAGCAATAGAGTTGGATGCTTGGAAATTACTTTGGGCTTCAATTTCAGCTGATGAACAAAGAAGCTCATTGATTTCCTGATCTTCTCCTTTGAAGAATTCATATACAACGGTTCTAACTTGAATGTTGCAATAATGTCATCTTTTGACAAACCAAAACTAGAATAAACTCCCAATTTTTGCTCCCAAAGTGATTTGCTCATGAGTGCCATTGAATGGATGGCTGACATGAATCGCTTATTTGTGGGATCCAAACCCATTTTTTCAACTTCACTGACCACCTCACTTAACCGATCACTTTTTACAACTAGGAACCTTGGTTAATACATAAACCATTTTAGAACTAATGACTTGGGTACACCATGATTCAACAAGATTGCAATATTTGGTTCCAACACCCTCTCCAACTTACATCTAAGTATTCCATACCATGATTTGATTGCTTTCAAGACATCCTTATTGGTGCCAACAATACTTTTAATGACTTGAATAGCAGGTATGATTTGGTTTTCAAGGCTTCTATCTAGGATACTGCAAGATGACAGTATCTGTGCAATTTCTTCTTCTGAGAAGCCCAAAGATTTGAAATATTCCAACTTTGGCTTAAAGTTTTTCTGTGCATTTAATAAAAATGTATTTGGACGCTTCATGATTAAGCTTGATATTTGCTTTTCACTGAAACCATAAGTTTTGAAAAACTTAACAACTGTATGTGCATCAGTTTCAAGAAAATGCGGATGTCTTTTGAGCATTTTGACAAGGTTAGTGCCAAAAAGTCCAAAAGATTGAAACAACTCAATATTGGGTTTGATGGTTTTGTGTGGATTAGCTAGAAGTATCTGAGGGCGTTTGGTTATCAGATTTTGTATATGGGTCTGAGTTAAACCACGGGCTTTCAAAAGGCTCAAGACTGAGTCTAGTTGGTCAGTTTTTTTAAATTGGAGCTTTTTAGAAGCTGAAATGGCTGATTCTAAGGAAAACCCACATGAGTTTAATAGGTAAGAGACTATAAGAGATTGTGGGTCTGTTGAATTTGAACTACTCAAGATGGGATTGACAGATGAGGTTGAAAACAAAGATACATGGCATGTAATTGAAGCTATATGCCTTGTATATTGAAGTCTACTGCTAATAAAATGAATCATTGAACTGATATATCTATATAAATCTATAAACTTGTATGTATAGAGTTACAAGATCTGAAAATCGAGAATACATACACTTCTGTGCCCTCCAATGGCTTCCCTCTTCCTTTGGGTTGGTTTCGATTGACCAGAAAAACCCTTGAAAGAATTTACTCATTTTTAAAAAGCATTACAAAGAACTTCAAACGATGTCGTTTAACTACAGGTAACGAACTAGTAAACAGTCTCGCGTGATCGCGTCAAACCTACATATATTTTGGACCAGATTTTTGACATCGGGCTGGCCAAACCCAACACGACTTCGAGTTGAGGCTAGGCTGGGATCGGGCTGAGTTGGACCGGCTCAACTTGTAATCATAATTTTTGGTAGGACCTACTTATCATGTACCCTTGAATTACACCAAAATTTGTCTCCCTTTAGGCTATTTTTATCTAACTTAAGTCATTAAATAAAATTGTTTGGAAGAAAAGAAGAAAATTTGATGGAAGGGATGGATGAGATATTGTTAGAAAAATTATTGAACTAGAAAAATGATAGAACTCAGTGCCCAGAAGAGATGTGGGAAATTGTTAATATTGAGTATATCTAATAATTGTGAAAGGTAATATTGTAATTTCAAATTTTCGTAACAATTTTGCTTCTCTTTCTTCTTTTTTTCACCCATATTTAGATATTACAATTTGTAAAGTGGGAAGAATGATTCATCATCTTTCTGGTCTTTCATTCGTATACTTTCCCTTCATCTCCTTTTTCTTTCTTTTCCTTTCATTTTAATTAGTTATTATTTCAAACGAAATTTAATGTTTCCTGATGTTTGCAATTAATTTAATACAATCTGGTCACAAAATTGAAATTGCATCACATTCTAAATCTACCATTGATCTCATCGTATACTTCAACACCATTAAATTGGGAATTGAACACCTTTGCATCATTTTGTTATCTCCAATTTAACAATATTGTGTGATATTGCATTTTTCGATTTAAAAATATTATGTGATATTGCATTCTCGATTTAATTGCAATGAAAAAGTACAGTACTCAAATTTTTTGTTTCACTACAAACTCCTTAATTGATCCAAATGCAACGGCTAAAAAAAATCAGTTTGTTCACAAGGAGGCCCCATAATTTCCCTTGTTTATTTTTTCCCAAGTTGATACAACATACCACTAAAGGATTAAAACTAGGCACAATCAAACAAAACAAACAAGCCATTATCACCTATTTCCCGGCGGATTGTTGGATCGCGTGTTTTGGCCGACGGCCAAAAGAATGGCCCTTCTGCACCGATCTTCCCATTTGATCCCGGTATTGTGTTAGTTGTTCCTTTTTTAGTTCTAATTTTATATATGTGTTGTGTTGGTGTTTGTCTAGGCTCGCTGTTCAATTGGGTTTCATTAGGTCAATCAGTGGTTGGCAATGAGGATCCCTGGTAGCCTTGGCCTATAGGATGGGGTGGGTTTTGCTGCTGCTTTTCCTCTGGTGGGTTTGTGCTTGATGCTTGCGGTTTTGACTTCCCGGGGTATTCTTGTGCCTCTATGCTGGGTCTTGGTGTAGCAGAGACATCCCCGCCACCATAACAATGGCACCGACAATTTCAGCCTCGACGAGGACGAAGTTCGTCAGATCTGGAGTTTACCGATCTCTTTTCTGTTTGTTCTTGGCCATGATGCTATCCCTATTGGGAGCCCTCTGAATAATTCCTTCCCGAAAACACATGCTCCTTACTGGATTTCTTTAGGCCATGCAATTACTTCTCAAATCCCACTGTGGGATAATTATCAATCGTTGCCGTCTTGGTCGGTGGGGACGATGTCTCTGGTTTGTGAATATTGTTTTTGGCTCGGGTAGTCATTATGTGTATGGGATGTGGTTGAGAGGTAGAGGGTGTGGATGTGGATACCGGTATAGGTTGTGGATTGGGGCATGGTAGGGTAATGGTTGAATGTGATGGTTGTGGTAGTGTGTTTATAGCTGAGGGTAATGTTTCGGTATAAAGTGATTGTACTACGCATTGGGGTTGCCCGAAAGGTTGCAAGTCCAATGGGGTGGCGTCTGGCAGCGAAGATGATGGTGGCAATGAAACAATGATAGGGGAAGGAATCTAAGTGGATACAATATCATGTTGTGGACGAGTAGATTGAGTGGAGAGTGTATGAAAAGGGAACACAGACTCAAAAAACTTGACATGCCTAGAGACATAAGTTTTTGAAGTGGACGGATGAAAACATAAGTATGCACTTTGAGTAAAAGAGTAACCTAGAAAAACACATGATTTAGAATGAGCATCAAGTTTGTGGGAAGAATAAGGACCAAGCCAAGGATAACATAAACAACCAAAAATCCTAAGCTTCGAATAGTTTGGGGGTGTACCAAAAAAATTTTCAAAGGGGGAGGATAGATTAAGTGTTGGAGTTGGCATTCTATTAATTAGGTAGACTGCAGTAGCAAAGGATTGGGGCCAAAAAGTTAAAGGTAGTGAAGCATGAGTGAGTAGGGAGAGACCTGTTTCAACAATATGACGGTGTCTTCTTTCAGAGTAGCCATTATGTTCTGGAGTGTGTGGAGGAGTATTGAGATGAAAAATTCCATTGGTAGCAAGAAAATTGGCTAAAGCAAGATATTCGCCACCATTATCCGAATAAAGTGTTTGAATTTTAAGTGTGAAGTGTTTTTCAACATTAGCTTTTAATCTTATAAAGACATCTTTAACTTTAGATTTGTGTTTTAGAGTGTAAAACCAAATGTATTTAGTGAAGTGATCAACAAAGATGACATAATATTTAAAACCATTATGTGATAAAACAGGTGAAGTCCACACATCAGTGAAGATTAGTTGAAGAGGTTGTGAAGAAACAAGAGAGGAAGTAGAAAAAGATAGTTTATGGCTTTTATTGCATTGACAAGCATTACATAAAAAATTGGAGGACAAAGAGGTAGATAAATCTAATTGATAATGAGAAACAGTGTGTTTTAAAACAGGAAATGCTAGATGTCCTAGTCTATGATGCTACTCAGATGAAGTTATCTTAATACTAGAAAATGCTAACAGAGGAGAAGTTTTTGGAGAAGAGACTGACCATTCATACACCCCATCTTTCGTTTGGCCTTTCAAAAGTATTGCCTCAGTGCGAAGTTCCTTTACAATGAAGGAAAAAGGTAAGAATTCAATGGATACATGATTTGAAAGACAAAATTGTGAAATGGAGATTAAATTTTTCTTCATGTTAGGTACACAAAGAACATTGTTTAATGTAAAGGTAGTGCTAGGAGTTTTAAGAGAAGTGGAACTAGTGTGAGTGATGGGGAGACCCGTGCCATCGCCGATCATGATGTCGTCAGAACTGGTGTAGGGTGTATGAAGGGATAGATTGTTCAAGTTAGCAGTGACATGGTGAGAAGCACCATTATCTAGTAGCCACGTTTGAGTGTTGGAAGAGTTGTTCACAGCAAACTGTGCTTGAGGCTGGCATGGTGTCAGATAGTTGATCATTGGAGCACTTATGGTGGTGAATGGCTGAACTGGAATAAGGCAAAATGATGGACACTTTTTGGCTGTATGTCCTTGAATTCCACAGATTTGGCAGTGACCAAGATATGGATGAGAAGTAGATCGTTTATTTCGACCGGAATTTAGCTAGGCATTGGATGATAAGAGGGAGCGACTGTTGTGGTTAGGCGATGGGCACCAGCTCGTGCTATTGTTTCCAGAAGGTGGTGGAGGACGCCAATTATTGCCCACTGTATTTGAAGAACGCAAGCCAAAATTGGTGCGATTGGCAGGATTTGTTGATGCTGGAAAGTGACCAGGTTCTAATTTATTTTCAGGAAGTGTTGCTTCAAAATTCAGAAGCTTCTCATGAAGCTCATTAAATGAAATGGTGGTGTCACGAGCTTGGACTGCACGCACCAATTCCTTATATTCATCATCGAGCCCATCAAGAATTTTCTCTATGACATCTTTTTCTTCCATTGGTGCTCCGAGTATAGCAAGCTCATCAGCACGAGCTTTCACTATTTGAAGAAAATCTGTAACATTTTGAGAACCCTTGGTCAGATTTGTAAGATAACTTTTTACATGCTTAATGCATCCTCGGGATGGCTTGGCATACGTGTTTGCCAGAATTTTCCATGCTTCCTGAGAGGTCTTTGCTCGACTAATAAATGGAATGATGGTGGGAGAGAGAGATCCAACAAGAGCATTGAGTATTAACTGATCTTGTTGAATCCATATAATATGAGCAGGATTTGGAATGGTGGTGTTGTTCTGGGAAATAGTGGCTGGTGGACAAGGTTTTGATCCATCTACGTATCCTAGAAGATCATATCCAATAAAAAGGGTATGAAATTGAAGTTTCCAGGAGATGTAGTTGATTGGAGCTTGGGCTGATATTTTTATGGAGATAAGGGTATGATTTGGTTCATTTGTATTTTGAATGACGTGATTGGGAATCGTGGTGTTGTTTTAATCTTAAAATTGCTCTAATACCATAATAGACAAACAGAGGAGAAGAATAGCCATTTTGCTTCACATTCATTCAGTCAATATATAGATACAAAATACAAGAAATTCAAAGCAGTAAGTTACAAGTCTAAAGCTAACTCCTATAAAAAAGATATAATTTAAACTTTAAAATATATACAACAGCTTTGAGAGATCTATGGGGTTGACTTGACTCTTATCTATTATCGCTCTCATGGTGTCCTCTGTTTATGGTGTTTTCCGATTATTGCGTCTTGCTGACGTCGTTCCTTTGGCATATGAATCACGCTGGGTGTGCAGAGGTGGGTCTGGGTGAAGCTTTTGGTTCTTGTGGTTGGGCCTCCTCTTTCATGGGTTTGTTTGGTTGGGCCTTAGGTTCAATCCCTGTTAATGTTCCTGTGGGCTTTAAGTCTAGTGCGTCAAGATATGGGTTTCTTGTAACGTGGAATGTTTACTTTTTACTCTGCGTGCTTGTATTTTTGGTTATAAGCAATAATATGTAGTCTCTCGTGTTTGCCAGGCCAAAAAAAAAAAAAAAATTATCACCAATTCTCTGAAACTTGTTATTGGTCAATCTGTATGCTTAAACTACGCTTTGAACACTGCATTTGCAGCTTTAGTACAGTAGAAGTTGAATGCATCCCATAAAGCCTATTGTTTTAGTATATAAAAGTAGCATTGATATCGCAGTAACAACACAACTAATACTGAGCTAAATGTGACTCAAAACACAAGCAAATCAAACAAGTTGAACAGAAAATGAGCTGCAAACTACATAAGAAAGCATCACTTTAAGAGAACCATTAGGATGTTCAAGAAATAAATGAATTAGAAGTTAAATCCAGTAATAGAGCTCGAGATAGCTGAATTTACATATTTTTGTTGAGATTTTACCTATTGTACAGCTATAGGATTGAATTATTTTCTCCTTGATTTAGGGCTAACTGGTAGGTAATTAGTTTCCCGATTATTGTATATTTAGTTACCTATTTTAGCTAGATATTACTCTATAAATTGAATGTAACACCATCGTGAATAATATCGAATTGAGTTTTTGATTCTTATATTCTTTCTCTGAATTTGAAGATGGTATCAGAGCCATCCTTGAACCGTATTTTTTGCATCTCTTTGAATTTATCTTTTAAATTCATTGAACCATACACAGACCCATACATATACATTAATACAACAGACCCACAACATAACCATACCCATATAACATAACCATACACATACACATCAATTCACAGGCCCATACAAATACACATACAGTCACCATTGATTCACCCATCACAATGAAACGACAACGACGAAGCTGCAGCCACAGCCATCACAAGTGTCAGCTGTCGCCGGACCAATTGCCGTCATAAGCCACAGCCGTAACCTAACCACTGCACCTTGTCGGATCTCCATCATCGTCGTCGCGTCGCCGGATCAGGCCGCTCTCTGCCGCTGCCTCACCGGATCGCATCGTGGTGATACTCGTTCTCTGCCACTCCCCCTCTCCTCCAGTTTTGCTTTTGTATTTGACATATATATATATATATATATATATATATATATATTTAAAAAAAAAAAGGAAAAGAAAAAACATAAAAAAAAAATGAGTGAAAAAAATAGTGAATCCTCTGGGACTAAATCAGTTCCTATTTTTGTTCAATCTAAAGGTGTTTTTAATGTAGGGATTAATCTTACTGAATCCAATTATGATGTTTGATCCCAACTGATGGAGATGCATATTGCTGAAAAGGAGAAACTCTCCTATATTCGTGGTAAGACTAAGCCACCTGCTGAATCAGAAGATGGTTATGACAAGTGGTATGCAGAAAATCAGAAAGTGAAGCGGTGGCTATTAATGTCCATGACTCCAGAAATTATGAAGCGTTATTTACGCTTACCCACTGCTCGCAAAATCTGGAGTGCTCTATTAAAGGCTTTTTATGATGGGAAGGATGAGTTGCAAGTTTTCGCCTTGAACCAAAAGGCCTTCACCCCCAAACAAAAGGGAAAATCTCTATCTGAATATTATGGAGAGCTAAGTGAAGTTTTCTGAGAAATGGACCATCGAGATAAAGTGGCCGTGAAAGATCCAAATGACATTGAAGCATATCGGAAGTCTATCGAGCGACTAAGGGTTCACATCTTTCTTGCCGGATTAGATGGAGATTTTGAACAAGTTTGTGGAGAAATTCTACGTAACGATCCAGTTCCAGACTTGGAAGGCTGCTACTCTTTGGTTCGACGAGAAGCGATACGTCATGCAACTCTAAAAGGGGAATCCGAAAACTCTGAAGCTTCAGTCATGATGGCTTAAAATAAGTCTAAGCAAAATTGGTAGGACCGTTCTAAACCTAATCAATCTAAAGCCACCAACGGTGCAGACAAGTCTACTTACAAATGCACCCATTGTAATCAGACTGGTCATACCAAAAGTCGTTGTTTTGAACTTGTGGGATATCCGAAATGATGGGATCATAATCGTTAAAAGAAGAATTCAACGAAGACCTCCACCGCAGCAGTTGTTAAGACAGATGATGATGATGCTGACAAGGCCTTGGGGTTGGTAGTAACTGGAGATCATGGTGGTAAGGTTTTAAATATTTCTACACCTGTTGTTAATAGTGCATGGATAATTGATTCTGGTGTTACAGATCATATGACATTTGATTCTACACAGGTCTCCCCCCTTAATTCCTCCTCACAACAATTTTTTTTTTATTGCTAATGGTACTACGACCCAAGTTATTAGGGAAGGATCTTTGACACTCACTGATAATCTAAATTTAGATTATGTTTTAGTTGTTCCATCTTTATCTTATAATCTTTTGTCAGTTTCCCAAATAACCACAGCTTTATCTTGTATTGTAATTTTTTGGCCTGATTTTTGTGTGTTTAAGGACATCCAAACAAAGCAGACGATTGGTTGTGGTATTAAGCGAGGGAAGCTGTATTACTTGGACTTGCTGTCAAAAAGTTCCGACAAGCTACGACAAGCATTAACAGTAGATGGTTCTGAGGGGGAGAAAAAGAAATCTGAAATCTGGTTGTGGCATCGACATCTGGGGTATGCTTCCTTTGGTTATCTGAAAAAATTATTTCCTAATTTATTTAAAAATTTTGATGATTCTAGTTTACGCTGTGATGTTTGTGAACTAGCAAAGAGCCACCGTGCTTCGTTTCCATTGTGTTTGAATAAAAGTCCACTTCCTTTTATAGTTATACATTCAGATGTTTGGGGTCCATCCAAAGTTACTACTTTAGGTGGATCACGTTGGTTTGTTACTTTTATTGATGACTGTACCAGGATGACCTGGTTGTGCTTGATGAAATCCAAAAGTGAAGTGAACTTATTGTTTCAAAAGTTTCATAAAATGGTTGTAACTCACTACAATGCACATGCTCAGGTTCTCCGTAGTGACAATGGTGGAGAATATCAGAGTTTTAACCTTCAACAATTTTTGGAAGCACATGGAACTTTTCATCAAACCACTTGTTCCAATACACCCCAGCAGAACGGGGTTGTAGAGTGAAAAAATCGCCACTTGTTAGAAGTTGTTCATGCTTCCTTGATAGATGCTCATATGCCGTTATCGTATTGGGGAGAAGCACTTATCTCTGCAGCATATCAACTCAATCGAGTACCTTCCAGCTCTATTGACTTCCAAACACCATTGCAGGCTCTCACTAACGCAATTGTTGCCCCAACCGTCCCGAATCTACCTCCTCATGTCTTTGGTTGTGTAGCAAACATCAACGCAACAAGCTAACTCCTCGAGCCTTGCGATGTGTTTTTCTCGGATATGCTACTCATCAAAAGGGGTATCGCTGTTATCACCTTCCAACTCGACGAATGTTTATCACCATAGATGGTGTCTTCCATAAAGACTCGATGTATTTTTTCTCTGCATCTGAACTTCAAGGGGAGTACCAGAAAGAAATTCAGACTATAGATTATGATTATCACATTTTTTAGGATGGCGATTCTAGTGGTGATGACTCACAAGTTAGAC